CGTGCTGACCTTCCTCGGCCTGCTCGCCATCCTGATCATGATCGGAGTGAACACGGGCGCGATCAGACAATTGGCCCAGGATTATTATGGATTGGAGCAGGATGGGCTCACCCCTGACGAGTTTAATCACGGTAAGTCTTTCCGCAACATAGAACCATGCAATCTCTCGCAGCTTTGTCAACATTCGCCGTTCTTCTCGTCATTTTCATCTGCATCTCCGGCCTCATCGAGGCGTATTTCCTCGAGGTTATCTACCGGTTCTACGTGTTTTTGAAGGTGGGCGGGTTTTTTGAGGATGTCGTTACTTTTTCTTTTCCCAGAAGTGTTATTTTTGGAGCAAAAAGCCAAGGATTCCGATTTTTAGAGATCAGTTTGTTCACAGCAAAAGAAGAGCAATTTTCGCGCATTTTTTTGAACCATGGGCTGTAGTTTAGACCGTAAAAAGGACTTGCTAAACGCCGAATTTCAAGATTAGAAAACGATAAAAATTCAACAAAATAAACGAATTAAATCACAACATTTTAACTCTTTTTTAAAGAATTTCCTAATAGATTTTTGTAAAAATACGAAAACTAATAATTTGCTATTATGTACAGTACAGCTGCGTACTATATTTACTGCCCACGGAGCCGTACTGTACTTATTAATTGCGATACTGTGCCGAACTCACGTTAAGACTTTATGTGGCGTCACCGTCACCTAGAGTACTGTTCGGTAAATACGCTGGAAAGTTAGGTATTGTACTGTAACTGTAGTACGCTAGCCTACCGTACTTAAATCTATAAACTGTGAAAAAGTGTAAGATCAAAATCTCCAAGTTATTGACAAAATAAATGTTTTCAGGAACGCGAGACCTCCTTCAACTTCAATTTCGACACGTGCACCCCGGGATTCACCCCAAATAACCCCCCAAATTACGATGGCATGCTCGGATAATTTATTTTATTCTTGCTACCGTATCCAAATTCCAAAATTGTATTCTTCGATTTTTCGATTTCTTAAGTAATTTTCAGCCATTTAACTTGTAAAGTCATAAATTTTAAATGTTTTTATTCACCACAACACCACGATAAAGTGCTGGCCGATTTTCGAGCTGGAAAATAGTGGGGGAAAGACGGAGGGGGCAAAGAAAATGAATAAAAAAGTCGAAATTAGCGCCATAAATTTTCAAAAATTCTTACTGTGATTTTTAGACTGTTACTATCCCTTTAAAACGTAAAAATACACCAAAATATAGGAAAAATCACGTAGTGACTACGGGAGGCGCCTATTGACGCGGTGCGGAGGGAGCCTCAGGGGGGCCAGAATACGGTGCTTTTGTAGGTATTTTTTGAGTTCAGGAAAGAGGTGTAAGGGGGCTGGGGGGTACGGTAGAAAGGGCGACAGAAATGAGGAGGAGACAAATTTACAAATATTTCGACAGGCGAAACGGTTCCGAGTGGGGTTTTGGGTGTTTTAGAACATGATATGGTCGACCTCGACCTTTTCGCCGGCCATCACCGCGAATGTGACGTCGTCCTCGGCGGGAACTTCTGAAAAATCGTGGTCTTGATTTTGTAAATACAGTTGTAACGGTTTCTAAGAAACCCACAATTACCGTATTAACCGCATTAATTTTATAAACCATTAAAATAACCAAATATTATAGGAAATTTACTAAAAATCACGATATAAATTTAAGTTAAATTTAAACAGAAAAATCACCGAAAATATAAAATACCTTGAAAAGCTTAACATCGAACTGTTCCTTTTAAAGATAAAGCTTGTAAAGATAAGTTTGTTTTAATCAATTTTTTATTAATTCAAAGCAAAGTCATACCCCTCTTCTGGCGCTTGAGCTCCTCGTCGACCTGGGAGACTTTGTGGAGCATGAAGACGGGTCGGAACAGGCAGTGCCGGTTGACCATCTGAAAATGAGAATTAATGCAAAAAATACGGTAATTGGGGTCAACTAGCAGAGTTCATTTGCGAAAGACAAGCCACGGACAACAAATATTTTGTAAAAAATCGGACCATGTAGCTGAGATGCTCGCGGAAATTAAGAACCGGCACAGGTAACTTTTCCACAGCCTTGGGGTTTAAATATGGTACCCTAGCACAGATTCTGACAGAAAAAGGCAGGCTAGCAGAGATTTTTGGGGAAATCCCACCTGCGAATTGAGGTCAATCAGATCTTGGTGGGACATCTGAAGGCCGACGCGGAACGTCTCGCGAACGACTGGGCGCATCTCGCTCGCTGGCTCTTCCTGGAATACAACGCTTTTTCAAGCTTTGCCAATACGTTCGGATTTAAATTAAAACAGTATGGCCTTTAAATAGGAATTCAATTTGACGCACTGTCGTCCAAAAGTTTTGAAAGCTGCCTTCCATGTCCCTTTAAAAGCAGAGATTACCCTTACCCTCATGCGTCGAATCCGCTGGATCAAATCCTTGGGCGACAGGCTGACGGATCGATCGAGTTCTCGGATGAAGCATCGTCGGCCCATCACGTCGACGATGGCCGTCATATTCTGAAGTCACAGGGTATAGCTAAGTACTTTTTCATCGAGTCGTTTCGCTATGCTGGATAGATTATTCTCACCTTCTTGAAGTCGTGGATGAAGATTGCGGGTCGGTTGTTACCAAATGGTTGCACGCTCATTTTCTCGGATTCCTGAAACACTTCAATTAGCGAATTAAAGGCACCAGGAAGCCCAAAAATCGACCACTTGCATCGAATAGGGCTCGACAGCAAAGCGAAACGCCAAAAACAAGGTCACAAAACTTTCAAAACTCGCTGTCTCTCGCTGATTCCCTGTCGCTCTCTATCTATCTCCCTCGCTCTCACTATCTCTCGCGAAAATATAGTTTAAACGATGATTTTCGGCGGAAGCTGATTCCCGCAGATTTCAACTCCCTTACATTGGCCATGTCGACCTCGACGTTCTGCCGCAACTCCTCGGCGTGGCCGTTGTCGTTGAACGACGTCTGCGTGTAGGCTGTGTATGGAATCGGCCTCGGGGCCATCGTTCTGAAAAATTAAGCGTAATTTTGCACTTTAAGCTAATTTTTCAACGACCACTAAGTGTAAAAACGCCAAAAAAACCCTAAAGATAACGCTAATTTTACTAAGCCAAATTGCGTTAATTACGCTCATTTTTGTGCTTAAAAATGTGTTAGAAGAATGATCGGAATATCAAATAAATACCAACTTATGGAAAAAGTATCCGGCCACGAATGACACGGTGAAGATGGTGAGGGCGAAGAAGACGAGCCACGCCCGGATACGGTACAGTCTGTGATAGGGGCTACAAAGTACACTACGGAACGGATCGTGGATACCTGTTCCAGTGTTGGTCGTACTCTGGAGGAGATGGAGATGGAGTACGAGCTAGGGGCGAGGGAGAGAGACGGATGATAGATAGGGGACCGAACGACGAGGAACGCTTCTTCTTGCCGACTCTGAAAAAAGGGAGAATTTAAACTGAATAAATATAGATACAGCTCTCGCCCTTCCTGCCTCTTGCTCACTCTCTCGCTCAAACCCTCTCCCTGTTGCTCTGGTTTTGGCTCTGTTTTTCTCCATTCCTCGCTCTCTCCTGTGAGAGCAAGAGAGACAGTGAGTGAGAGAAAGCGTGATAGGCAGAGAGACCCCTATATCCGCTAACTTACGATTCATCCTCTGGCGGTGTTGGCGAAGGGGTTGGGGCTAGTGGGGATGGGGAAATGACCACCTAAATCCAGGTATTCGGTGCTGTATTTGTCCTTTGGCTCCTAACGGAATCTGTCCCTCACTGACCTGCGGGACCTTCTTCTCGCCCTTCTCGTCGCTACCCGTCTCACCCTTTGTGAAGACCGTCATCTGGAAAGCAAGAAATAATCATCTTATAGAGTACTGTAAAACTGAAAAATAAATGCAAATTCTGTTGATATGTTTAGAGAAAAGCAGATCCAGAGCTGATCGGTAAGTTGAAGCAGTTCAACGGAAAATGAGATAGGACGCGTGCCCGGCACTGTATATTATGAATGAGTTTACACCAACTGGCGGAAAAATATTACAATATGAACTTCACATTTTAACGGCCCTGCGAGCTGCCAAAATCGACCCTTTTATCCGCTGGATCGTGACAACTACCACCTCAGAACAAAAAACGTTAATACAAAAAGGCGACGCTTGTACCGTAGTTTCGCTTAATTGTCGAGACCTAGGCAATAGAAGGGGTTTATTTTGGGACTTTCTACTCCCTTTAAATTCAGAAACCTCAAATTCAAACATCAAACGTTGTAGAAATGAGTAGGCCCTACATAGTAATACGCAACGGTATTCCACGAAACGATACGCTACTGTATGCTACCTTAGGCTACTTTACGTTACTTTACGATACGCTAAGCTACGGTACACTACCTTACGATATGATAGGTTACGATGCACGACGCTTCGTTAAGCTCCGCGGCATTCGATACGATACGATATGCCGCGAGATTTTAGAGTACGTCACGATACGCTATGTTACGTTACGAGATGATACGGTATTATACGCTAAGATCTGCTATATACTACATACGAAAACTTGAATTTGAGCTGGAAACTCCAATATAACACCAATAAAACGATATACGGCCACAAGCCCCAATCGGCTTTTCGGTATATTGCGCGTACAGAGAGACGACAATAGAGAGAGGGAGAGAGAGGGCTGAGCAGAGACTCTTTGCGGAAAGAGGGCCTCTGGCCGACCCCCCGATCTATTGTCCACGAAGCGGACAAACGGACAAACATTCCCCCAGGCCCTAGGGGGGAATGAAGGATGGACCCCCGATGGAAAGGGGTCCCGAAACGAAATCGACCGAAGAGGGGGAGGGACACAGAACCAGGAACCTCCTCCGATCACACATAAAGAGAGAGAGCGAGAGATAGAGAGAGATACAATGACATACAAACGGAAAATTCGGGCCGGTATACCTCACATATGATTCGCCCAACAATACGATACTATGGACGGGGAACTGGAAGGGAGTCAAAATAAGAAAATTCGGGGGCTTTTTGGACTTTTTCTGATCGTTTCTTAGTATATTTCGGAATCAGCAGTAGATCACGATCACGATAAGTACAGAAAAGGAAGAAACCTAGTTCTCTCGGGCGTTTCTCGGAAAAGTGTGAGATTTTGCATTGGAATGGCCAGGATACCTTGTCCTCAACTCATGTGGAAAATGGGACCTTTTAACTGTATTCTTATTACTGAACAAAAACGCTTCTGAGGACACAGTACGTCTGAGGAACTTGGAGAAGCGCATAGCCTTATTTGTCGGTAAATAAATATTAGCCTGATTTTGTCTATCTTCTAAGAGTTAGAATAGATTTAAAGTTAAATCCCATTATCTGGTAGAACCCTATTTCGAAAATTAAATTCATAAGTTGCCTCACATAATCGAAACCTGTAAACAACAGTACTTCCTCAAAAAAATGCAAATGATCGTACGGGTTTTTCTTGCTTTGCACATGGCAAAATCGGATAATTTAATTCCATACAGTAAACGACTAGTAGAATCCTTTGAAAAATAGGGCAAATTTACAAAAGTTAGGTTAACAAGCCTAAATTTTCCAATTTTTAGACTACGATACTCTCCCGCAAAAAATGCAAGTGATCCGATGGTGAAGCTGAGTGTGGAATCTTCGGGTGTAGTGAGACTGTTTGTAGGAATGAGGGGCGAGAGTCGTGCGCGGACCTCCCGATTCTCGGGTGGGTCCTTTCTTGGGCCCCTCTTTGGCCCTTCTTCAGCCCTGTCCCCCACACATCGAACAAGGCCTGCGGGCTCTTGGGTAGAGAGAGAGAGAGAGAGAGAGAGAGAGAGAGAGAAAAGAGGCAGGGAAAGAGAGAGAGAGGCTCATCCCTTCTGAAGAAACGGTTCGACGTGTCCCCCACCTCACCTCACACACGCACCTCCCATTTTCACGTTTTGGGGCTGATGAGTGAACCCTGGCTGGTGAAGCAGGGTCTGGGTGGTTTTAAGGGTGCTGGAACACTAAAAAAACGGTTGATCGCGGGTTTTCGGCGCTTTCAAAGGGAGTGTGACATTTGTTTTTCAGTCTTTATTCGTATTATTTATTATTTATTCTAGCCCCGCCCCTTACATTTCACTTACACCGCCTTTAAAGGCTCGCGTAGGGCTTTATCTTTATGGAAATCGACTGTACAGGGTGTCCCCAAAAAAATTTGCCCCCGCCTCTAGGGGTCCAGAGAAAGCTAGGATCGGGATAATTTTTACACCATTCGAAAGCCCCTGGAACGGCGAAAAAAACAAGCGCTATTCGTTTTACGAATTTTCATAGCCCGCGCCTTTAATCGATTAAGTAACCTAAGCCGGCTGCGAAATTCCTGACTTTCAAGATGTTTCTCCAACGTTTTTGCGATTTTCCCCCACATCTCTTGGTGTTAGCGAAGCTGCTCTGTCGAGACTCCTTTGGACTTCAGTCGGTCTTGAAAATCTAAAAATCATAATTTGCAAGACCCCATCATCCATGTAAAATGCAGCTCTAGAATCTGTTAATGGTAGCAAAAGAGGGAGGGTGCCGCTTCTGACTTGCTGGTCCCTTTAAAAAGCTGAAATTAGCGGATATTGATATGCCTCTTCGTTTTCCCGGTAATTCTTGGATGTGTTTTTGTCTACTAAATGAAACCCGAAACAGTCTAGAAGCCAAACAAAGCTTTGTCTTTGTTTGAACAGCCGGGTTCGCCCGATTTCCCTATATTGTTCGGTTTTTTACTAAAGACAAGGTGACCATTTCCGGAGAGGAAAATGACTAATTTGATTGCGTGGTGTCTGTCCGGGATCGTTGCTTTCAGCTTCCTTCTCTTCCTGACTCTCGTTCTCCCTCTCTCTCTCCCCTCTCTCACTCTCTCTCTCTCTCCTTTGGATGGATGTCGTGAGCCTAATAGGTCTCGCCCCCCAGGGCTGAGGTTGGGACGGTCAACATCGCGGTGGACCCTGTCTCACCTAACTCATCGTCCCAGCTGAAGCTAGGAGGAGAGAGAGATCGAAAGAGAGAGAGACAGAGAGAGAGATAGAGAGAAACCGACAGATAGTCAAACTTCCGCTCAAATACTCGGCTATTCATGGTGCATCCCTTTACAAAAGGGGGAAGGAAACGCAGGGTAGAGGCAGAAAGTTTTGGACTCAACTAGGTTTCGAGAAAAACGGATTCTTCGATCGATTTGTACACTTTTTTGTAGTATTCGAGAGTCATAGTCGATAGAAGGGATTGATCCCCACGCCCTGTAAAAAGTTAAAAATTATCTGTGTTATTTAGATTTAATAACGTAGTGGTGCAAAAAGAAGCCGAAAGTAGAACTGTATTTTTCCGGATACTTGGTGGTGTAACGTGTAATTTTTTGCGCAAACCGGTAGCTGTAGTTTGTAATTAATTTTTGGATTGGATTTTGGAAAAGCAGTTTTCAGATTTTTAGCCCAATCATCATCATCAATCATCCGAGGAAAGGGACGCGATAGAGAGCTTGTATGCGA